TTACCCAATTTATCAAATTACCTGAATATCGTACTTGCAACGACCAAGCAAAACGTTAAATCACACAAACTTATTCTTATGCTCAGGTCACGCTTCTCAGCTACATTGAATCAAAAACGCTAAACTCACAAATTAGATATAGTTATGTCATAATTGCATAGAGGTAACCCAATTTACCTAATTTATTAAATCACCTGAATAGCGTACTTGTAATGGCCAATTAAAAACTTTAAATCACAAACTCAAAATTCTCACGCTCAGGTCAGGCTTCTTAGCTACGTTCAATCAAAAACGTTAAAACGCATAAACTCAGAATTAAATATATAGATATATGGAGAGAACTAAATAGAGCCAAATTTAAAAAATGTTTAAAAAAACATTTTATTTAGTATTACTATTTATTCCAATTTTTATTCTGACATTCTTTGTCCTTCACTTGGTAAAATTAATATATCTAATCAATAAGACATATATTTGATGATAATTCAGTACTTAAATCCTTTTATTATAGTGTTGGCAAAAGTCAAACTTTTTGAGCAAACTAATGGTGTTCTTAAGTACAATAAAGTAAGTTTACATATAAAGTAAGTTTACATATAAAGTAAATTCGCAATCTCATTAATGAAACTATTTTAATTTAATTTGAGAAGTCATTTATACAATCAGCACAATTGATCCCATCCCATTTATTTGTCCACCATGCTACCCATATGAATCTCGAATAATTGAAACAGCATGTAAAATTCGTGCTGCAAATTTTATTTGCATGTGGACGTATTTAGCTTTAGCATTAATAAGTGTCATTATTGACATTAGTTTCAGATTTTATAATAGTACAAGAAAGAGCAGTATTCATAAAGAAAACATCAGTTATCCAAAATTGGCGAGTTCTTCTAAATATATATAATTATTAAATTATTATACAAATTTAATTTCGAATTGAAGCATATCATTAGTACTTTAAATGCTCATGTCAAATTTTTAATATTTAAGATATTACACGAGTTGTTTACAAATTAATTCTTTTTTTTTTTTTTTTTTTTAAAGAGTGAGGCCTGGCCTCGGTCTTTATTGAATAATTATGTGTTACAATACTTAAATAGATTATTACATGGACCTACAGCTAGGACTACTTTATCCTCGGCCAAAGCTCTACTAGAGTAGACTGGGCTAACCGGCTCTTCTAGATTTGGTGAAGCAATGAATGACGTAGAAATGTTAGTAAATGGGAATATATATGCCCACGCCCTGTATTTGCAGTGGCCACCTGTTGGGTTGGGGGTACAAATTAATGCTTCTAGATTATATAAATATTTACAAAAATTAAATCCATAAATACAAAAAGAAAAACCCCACGAGAAATTAAACCTTTTTTAATCTATTTTATACTATTTTTGAGTTCGAATAATTAACACAGAGAGTGTAATTAGATTTTGAAAATCTTTTATCTTTGTGTAGTGAATTCCTATTGAAAAATTATGTGTAAAAGCACAATTCTATTAAATAATTGTTCTACTCTGCACCATAAAAGTGCACTTTTCCGAGCAATAATTCGGGTTTTAACCATTTCGCATATTCTTATCATTGAATACTGTAACTAAAAATGATTGAACTGCAATTGACAGTTTACATGAGCAAGTTAAATATGTTAAATATTTAAATGGAATTAGAAATAACATTAATCATCATTATTTTTTATCGTTAATAACTGAATGTAATATTCAAATAGTGATCAAATCCGATGAAAAATAAAAGTAAGACTTTAAAACTCTTCAGCCAAGTCAAAAATCATATATTTGGGACGCTTTACAAATAAATAAAATTATTTACAAGTTTATTAATATATTATTGGACTATTTATACTGCACAATGCTCTAGATTATTGATTAAAAGAGTATTGAAAGACTTTTAAGTAATTTTTGTTTTCTTGTTTTATATTTGCATTTTAAGTTTTTGGGTTTGAATTGCATTCTTAGCCTTTCGGACTGTAACTTATAACGTGCTTTTTCAGATTCTGGCAGTTTATTCCATTCATTTCCGGCAATTTTTGAGATTTGACAGGCGCCCATATTTAGATTATCTTTAATTTTTTCTTTTCGATATAACATAAAGGCGTTTAATAGACGTTTAATAGGATCGAAGATCAATGCCGGAACACGTATATTTAGTTCTGGGAATTCCTTGATTGTTTTCAATTTTTTTGTAGCATCTTCACGAATAAGAAACGGAGAGTATCCTTGTGGAATAAAAACGAATATTCCTTTTTTACGTTCAATATTTTGAAATCCATCAGATTCTTCAATCGAAACAAAATTATTGGGATTCATTTTATATAAGTTTATATTTACTTTTAAAAAAATGCTTATTAATAGTTTCGGATGTATTGTTTAATATAGAATTAGTCATAAATTGTATTGTTATCACTTCCTTTAATATTTTCTTATCATACGCTTTCTAGTAGTGACACAATTGTTTAAACTGTAATAACTAGAAGATTATACGTCATAGTATTTCAGCATCAGTGGATGCTGAAATAAGCCAGGTGATTAGTCAGTTAAGTATCGATATTAAAAAGCCTCATGCCTTTTTTATTATGAGCCAAAATGTTACAATTCATTAAAAAGTTAGCATAGCTTAAACCTAATTTGTTCTCCGATGACATCCTGATACCGTCGGAGAATAAAATTTGTTCGAAATTATAGTTGATGTGATTTTACCATAATGTTTAAAGACGATCATCAGAAAAACCATATTAAACAATATAAGATATAGGTAGGAAAATTACTGTAGCTTTACGTAATTTTAAGTTTATAAAAATCGAATTTCATGTAATTTTAATCAAGGCCAAAACTTTTATAGAGCTGTCATAAAAAATATATATTAATGATAAGTAAATCTATAGGAAAGATAGTTCTCTATAACTTATTTATAAATACCGTTTGAGTTTGATTAAATCATGAAGATTATTATTTTGAATATACTAAGTTCAAATACGTAATTAGATTAATAAATATTCTTTATATGCTAAATGCCAATAAAATAAACATTAAACATTTAATTTTCCTATATTTTATTACTCAAGGAACAAGAAAATCGGGACAACTTATTTTTCTAATCCACAAAAGAAATAATAAATTTGGTTTATTTGATCAAATTTATTAATAGTAATATAATTATTACAATTAATAAAGTTAAAATTTTGCTTTGATTATTATTGTTATTGGCCAT